GTAAAGCAACAGTTAATGACCTGAGTAATTCAAGTCCGGTGCAAAAACGCATGATCGCACGGGCCCGCCCGGTGGTTTCAGCCTGGGTTTGTTTTTGCTGTGCAGCGCTATAGCGCTGCTACAGCGAGCAAAAACGCATACTGTCGAGAGGTAGTCTGTGTGTGTTTAGAAGCGAGTGAACTTTGTCAGTCACTTTCATCTCAGCAACCAGGAAAACCAGAGGCTGAAATTTTGGGTATATGTTCCTACTCCATGTGTCGCTCTCCCGTTTTAAGATCTTCCCCCACACGCTCCTAGACCCTGCGTACGGGCCCCTAAAAAAATGTGCAGATTTCTTTGCCGGAAAACGATTTCCCGAACCAGCAAGGTACAAAGCCGAAATTTTACAGGGATATTTTATGCGCATGTTTGAGCTAAAGATTTCAAATTCATCTGTCATGCATGCTTGTGCAGCGCGTACAATCACGCCAAAGTTTGCAAACTGGTACCGTGCTAACTCAAAAAGTTGCCGGAAAGCAGTGGCTGAAATTTTATCAGGATGTTTTTCGCCTGTATGTGAAGTCGTATGCCTAAAATGAGTGCCAATTTGCACTTGTGCCACGACTTAGGGCATTTCAAAGACATTTGTAGTGAAGTGACTATTTCGATTACCGTATAAGCTGCGAGGCCGAAAATTCGCTGAAATATTCTACTTCCAAAAGCGGAATAAATTCTGCTTGGAGGTGAAATTTCTTGCACGTAGGCATGAGAAATATTCAACTTTACCGAAAAATCAGAAACGAGTGCGTTTTGTAGCGAGCGACCGCCCTCATCAAAATATGTAAATGAACATCAGTTCATTTGCATACTTGGATTTTTTGACAAACAACCTCTCAAGCAACACTTCCACTTTTTAGCAACTGGAAATTTGCATTTTTTCAAAAAGCGAACATTTGCGGAAAAAACGACCAGGCTTTATGCAAAAAAAAAAACTGGTAATCATGTACTGAAGGTTCATGCTGCCCTATAATGCAACATCTTCATCCCAAATGACGCCTTTTCTCCTGCATGCCAGAAGAGGCCAGAGCGCGGTTATTATGAACCCAAATGTTAGGCTACAGCGCGGGATCATTCCTGCTATACGAGTTCAGTGCAAAAACGCATGATCGCACCAACAAGCCTAGTGCGTTCCAGCCTGGGGTACATTTAAATAAATAAGCAAAACGCATAAAAATCAATATACTAGTCTGTAGTGATTCTTGCTGATGATACTTCTGCGCCTAGGAATTATTCCATGCCCAAACGTCTAGCGCAGTGAGGCACCTGAAGAAAATTTGTGTTTAGGTATGAGTATAGACTATCTTTAGCATTTGAATGCTTGCTGCATTTTTTTTTAACAGCTGAGCGATTTTCCACAGCTTCTTTCAGGTATGAAGACGAAAAAGCAAAGCGTTTCTGGAAACGACTATCAGTCGATGCTCAAGTTATTTAATATGAGGTAAAACTTCTTTTTTATCTTATAAAATATTGCAAAGAAGAAATGGCATGATCAAAATTTGTCGAGCAAATAAGTGGTGGGGAGAAGAAGGGAGAGGGGTGAGGGAAATTGAAAAAGATTTGCTCTTTTTCGTTTGACGAGGTGATTGACAAATTTTCAACTTTTATTTTGAAAAAATAGCTGCATTTAAATTTATGGCTTACTGTACTTCAGTGGTACTTGCGAGGAAATAAACTACTCGGATGGCCTTTGAAGAGTTTATGTACCTACATCTAGCAGGTGGAAGTTTACGAACTAGGACTCAACGGTTCAGGATTAAAAGGTCTCGTATAACTGCACTGAACGTGTAGGAATATCCCAGTAAAATCAATAAGATGGAAACCCGCATCGATTATCAGCGGCAACCTTGGTATTCTAATTCTCTTAATAAATCCAAGTATTTGTTTTGCAGAGGTTTTCAATATAATTTTTTAGGAAACCTACTAGTAGTGAGTAGGCTGTGAGAGGTGGCCTACTGTTTAGCGTAGCTGGCTTCCAGCAGTGACGATGGGGGTCCGATTTCACTTAATGTGCGTTTTTGTTTCTTACGACGTGATAAAGATATTTTCACAGGATTTTAACGTTGAGTGGTGCACACTGCGTGCCAAGGGTTTTTCGAAAATTGGATGAAGATGATCGCAAGTGTAATACGTTGACAAGTGCCGTGTTCATGAGATTTTGTGACGAAAACGCGGGTCATATCTCATTTGCCTTCTCAAACCTCAGCAAGTGAATTTTAGTTATGATACTGCCTAGAATCTCGTTTTGTTTAACAACAGTTTATTATTTGTCAGCCTATTTCACAAAGATCATTGCAGCTGACACGAAATTATACGTAATGTTGTGCAAAAATGCAAAATCCTCATAAAGGACAAAAAAAACCTCAAATTCAGTTTTCATTGTAACTGCTGCCTTGCTGAGCTAGTGATCGCGATAAAGTATGTGTCTAGGATGCGGGTGAGGAAAAGACGAGCATGGAAAAACATGAAGAGCATGAAAAAACATGAAAAGAGCGGGTGAGGAAAAGATGAACATGAAAAAACTCTTAGTTGTACAATTCACGAACACGGTGATAACGCACTAAATAACACCTAAATTTTTTATCTGCGAGGAATTTGAGTTTTACTTCATATTTGTAAATGAATTTTTCATATTTATAGATGAATACAGATGAACACTTTTCATGTTTATTAAATAAATACATAGAACTGTATTGCAAAATTTTTATTTTCCTAGCTTTCGCAGTTCTCGATTCAATGATACTAAAAGAAAAGCAAAAAAATACACGTATAGAAATATGACTGGTGGAAGATCGCATCACAAATCAAACAAAGTGAGTAGTATTTTGGCTTATTTAATTCGCATGGGCAACTGTCTACAACATTGCATTTTATTGCAGCCGCGAAGATAAGCCACTGATGGGATCTTTATCATCAGAACAGATCAAAGATTTCAAGCAAGGTATTGTAGAGATACTTATGGATGAAGCATTCCTCAAGCGCTACGATCGCATAGTCCAGCTTCAAGTTGAGCAGCGTCAGAACAGCGAGTATCCGAGGGAGCTCCCTATTGTTATCACTACACTGTAAGCAATTTGGGCGTGAGGTATTAATTTTATGCTGGCGGTATAAAAAGTCTGAATTGTGGTAAGTGGCAATGTCATTAATTGATGTAGCACAAAAAATCACTCTTCCAAAGCCGAAGGGCAACTGGACAAGGTGAAGGGAGTTTAGCCTCCATCTTCGTTTCCTTGCTACTTGCTCCTTCTTCCCTTTGCAACATCCCGTTGCTCGCCTGAGTTCGGCCACCGAGCTCTCACTCTTCCTTTGTTTCTTCCCTTTTTATGCGTTTTTTGCAGCTATGCAGTGCAGAAAGCGCATATTGTCACGGGGTTGTCTGTGTGTGTGTTTATGTGTGTGTGTGTGTGTGTGCGTGTGTGTGTGTATGTCCGCAGCAACTTGTCCGCAACTTTCAACTAGGGAACCACAAAAGCTAGGAAGCTGAAATTTTAGTGTAATGACCCTCTGCCCACGCTCAACCTTGCCCATTTAAATTCACCATTCTCGCGCTTCCGGGTACCACCAACGACCTCGTTAAAATTTTGGCGAGTAAACTATTAACTTGGGAATCACGGAAAGATATTTATCCTTCAAGGTTTCGCATTCAGCTTTCATACGTTGGTGCGTGAAATTTTTAACTGTTTTCCAATGTTTGAACTATTTTTGCATAGACTAAAGTACGAAGCAGTGAAAATGATTAATAGGCAATCGTTCGATGGGCTGAATTGCACAAAACGCATGATCGCACCGGCTAGTCTGGTGGTACCATTTATTTCATTCGCGAGTTATGAATTTTCCCGCCATAGTTTTCACGTGCCCGTACGTGAGCCCTATTTATTATGTACTTTCCTCTGTGTTCCAAGTGCTTATTATATACTTTCCCACACAGGTCTTTGAAAGTGAACCATATCTCGAGATCCACAAAAGTTATAGGGCTTAAATTTGAGGAACTTAATCTGCATGCGTGTACGGACCCCCATGCCCAAAATGGGCGCTCTTACCCGCGTGGTACCCACTTACGAGTCCGTGAAAGTTTTTTCGGGTAAGTTCATAACTCGGGATCTGAAAAGCTAGAAAGCTGAAATTTTAAGGGATTTTTTCCCGTCCAAGTATGTGTTAGTAAGCTCAAACCCAGTCCCCGAGTGTACGTGATACCCACGTACGAGCCTGTGAAGTTTTTTTAGGTAAGTTGCTAGCTCGGGAGCCTGAGAAGCTAGAAGACTGGAATTTTTAGGGGTGTCTCCTGACAGTTCCGCTGCCCAGTCCTAATCTGTCTAGCTAGAAGCACTTGCCGGAAGAACTGCTGCCGGTAGCGACAAGAACTGTGGGCAGCTATGCAAAAAACGCATCTTCGCACGGGCAGCCCATGCGGTGGCCAATTATTTCCCTTTTCGTCCGGTGCTCGTATCGTTTTTTCACTTTTCCGCAACTGTTTCCTCATTTTAGTTCATTGTGGCTGAACATCCAGTGCTTCTTTAAGTTACTTCTGGCGCTGCGGCTCGTCCACATTACGTGGCATCAATTATAACAATACACAGTAAGATGCGTATACATACGCACTCATTCAGAAATACCTTATCATCTTTCTGCAATCAAACTACTGCTTGCAGTCATCATAATACACACGTTGATGAGACAGTAACTGAGGATAAACAATTCATGTGAGAAACTGCATTCTTAATAACAAAACACTTCAAAAAAAAAAAAAACTTTCAAGGACGAATGTTTTTTTACACCAACAAAACGCGCGCCTTTCCGACACTTCATCCTGGAGCTATCTTCCGTTACACGTTTCCCGCCGCCGCCGTCTAGTCCTTCTCAGTGGGCAGTTCCTTTCAGATACTTCCAGCGGAACCTTACGTGAATGGTCCAGCTGTATTTTATAGTTTTACACGCTCTTCTTACAGCGTGTGAGCTTCCCACTTTATGCGTTTTATGCAGCAATGCAATGCGAAAAACGCATACGGATCAGAGTTTGTCTGTTTCTGTGTGTCTGTGTGTCCGTGTGTGCGTCTGTCACCGTTTTCCATCTCAAGACCTACAAAAACTACGGGGCTGAAATTTTGGGGACTTAATCTACGTGCACGTACGGGCCCCAATCCCCAAAATTGGCGCCATACCCCGCGTGGTACCCGCTTACGGGCCCCCCAGAGTTTTTTTCGAGTAAGTTCATAACGTGGGGATCTGAAAAGCTAGAAAGCTGAAATTTTAAGGGGTTTTTTCCCGTCCAAGTAGGTACTAATGAGCTCAAATCCAGCCCCCGGGTAAGCGTGGTACCCGCGTACAGGCCCCCCAAAATTTTTCGCGCGTAATTCATAACTCGGGGTTCCGAGATGCTGGAAAGCTGAAATATTAGGGGGGTGTTCCCTGTCAGAAATTCATAAGTCGGGGTTCTGAGATGCTAGAAAGCTGAAATTTTAGAGGAATGTTCCCCGTCCAAGCAGGTGCTAA